TCTCCCATCTCTTGCAACCAGAATGCTGGGGCCTGAAGACACCGAGTAAGCGTTGCGGTTGAAATGATCAGCAGCAAAATCAGGACGTTTCAGTGTTCTGTTTCAGAGTCGAGTTAGCCATTGAGACAGGGCATCCCCAGCCAGTCTTTTTGCTTCCTGAAAGGCATGGGTATTATCCTATGCCATAGGAAGTTAGCTTGCAGCAGGCAGGCAGAAAAGGGTATTTTCCACTATAAAAAATCCATGCAAGGTTGAGGTAGGGCTGTGGGGAACGATAGCGTGCATTTGTACCGAATTAGCTTGCCCCAGAATTAACGGAGCTCTTCCCCCAAAAACAGATCAAAGTCCTCGTTTGGCGCTATCTCCTTCCTAGAAAATTCAGTGCCGGGAGCACGAGAGGAGAGGTTTTGTCTCCCTTCGGGGGACGGCGAGCCCGGGCGCTTGCCGCCGGCTGGCAGGGCAGGAGTTAAGTGATCGGCAGCAGAAGGGGCGGCCCGACACGTCCCCGGGGTCGGGGCTTGGAGGGGGCGGGACCTGGGGGCTGTCGGCTCCTCCAGCCGCGGGAGGATCGAGCTGTGGAAGTAAACGTCGTCGGAAAGAAACCAGCCGGATCACTTCTTTGGTTGCTCTTCAGGTACTTCGTTTTCTTCTGTAGAGAAGTTAGTGGGAGGAATTTTGTCTGGGTAAAGCACGCCGTTAACTTTAAACCAGAGCTGGGAAAAATTATGTAGGTCTATTTTGCTATGATTTGTCTAAATCTGAAGCGATACAGCAGTGCTAGTCAACAAATCTGCAAGTAAGTAGTGAGCCAAGCTCCACAAAAGAAATAATGCCAGCTTGGAAGAGCAGTAACACTGAAGTTAATACTTACTCGTGATTCCTTTTATTTGCTCACTTGTCTCAGTCTGATTCATATTTTCAGTTTTCTCTGTAATGCTAGGACCAGAAGTTATTATCAGTACACATACATTATTGTCAGTGTTATATTTGATTATAGATGCATGCATACATGGAATCAGATAATCTTATGTAAATAGAAAAAATGAGGAGAGACAGTTTTAAAAGAAAAAAAGCCCCAAACTTAGCAATACTGCAGATTATACTAGTCTAAAACCAAAATTGTCATATCCTTAACAGGTGTTACATTTAGCACACTGGACAAGACATCCGATATCTGAATAATTATGTTCAGAAGCAAAGCATTCAGTCTGTTAAAACCGATAACCTTGAAGTCTGGCCAGCCAAATTTGGCTTATAAATTTATTCATTCAGCTATTGCTTCTCATGGACATCGCTGTCACAGGAGAAGTGTGGATTACAGACAGAGGTACAAGACATGCCCAGGTAGTGCTGGAGGACAAACAATAAGTGCTCCTCAGACCAAGGTTGGTATCTGGAGAGCCCCCTTCCCTCTGCAAGATTCCTTTAAGTGTTTTTAGTTTACTGCTGTCAATATAATTTTTTAAGATTGTACCTGGTACTAGCAGAACCCCAGTTCTTGAACCAAAGGTGCAGTCTATTAATGGTTTGCACGGGCATCAAACATGATTGAAATTGTGGCAGACTCAGCATGTTCACACTAATGAAAAGATTAGTTACATGTGACTAGCCTCTTTCTAGTGTGCCAGCTGGTTTGTTTGAAGCTAAACCATCTTTCGCTGCTCTGCACTGTGGCTCCCACCAGTGCTTCTAAAATGAATACGGGTCTGACTCTGACCTTTGTGAGTGGTGTATTGTAATGAGGAGGAAGTGGTGATGAAAGCAAATGGTGTAATACAGTGCTGCCTTACTGGCATCTGCCAGTCGGTTGATCATATCTGACACACAGTTTTCCATCACTTTACAGCATAAGGTTTAGTTGCTGTTCTGTCTAAGTTGCTGCCGGAGCATTAGGTTCTGATCATCAAGAAGCTGGACACTGCTGTCATAACATGACATCAAATCTTGTCTTTTATTCTATGCATCATTCATTCTGGAGGACGAGTGTAGTTTATCCTTCTAAGGTCATCTTGTGTCATACTCTAAGAAACATACAGACTACAGCTAGCGAAATTTGCACTATTTTCACAACCATATGGGGCTGGCAGGATTCAAAATACTTCAGTTGGCAAGAAATAGATTCAATATATTTAAGGATGTGGTATTCCTTTGCAACATGGTTGCACTATTCAACTCATTGCTTTGTTTGCTGCTGTTCAGAACCGGTTAGTGTTATCAGAGACACTGTTCATGGTGAACTGCAGACCTGTCCTAATATGGAGGCCCCTTCTAGCCCAGGTACAGCAGCAGAGTGGTACTGAAGCAGAAATGCAGGTCACGTCCAGGATAATGCAGTATTGCTGGTGTTGAGATTGTAAGCATTAGTAGATGCAGTTAGGATAAGCCTGAGTTTTCTCAGGACAAGGGTAAATACGGTTTAACAGAGCTTCCAATCTGCATTGATGCCTTTTTGTCACAGGTTTGAATTCTGGTTACTGGCTTGTGTGAGAAGACTGAAGCAGCAGGAAATCTCTGCCCAGCACTGTGTGCCCAGAATAAATCAGCATACTGCTGTGGAAAATTGTTCTGATTTGGTTAGCACAATGTCAGATTTCCTGGGCCCAAGTCTAGGACACAGTATGGAATGGAGACCTAAAGTGAGTGAAGCACAGCAAACAGAACTGTAGGAAATTAGACATGAATGTTGTTAAGACATGCAGCAAATCTTCAGCTACCATTTCAGTCAAAAAGGACTGCCTCTAATTAGGTGTGTGGCTCTCTGTGGAGCCCCTGTTGTATCGCAGGGTACAATACATTTGCATGGGTGTTACAGAGAGTACTGGGCTCAAAACTGTCTGGGCAGAGGAGAAGTTCTAGTATGAAGGACTGTGTTGTCAGTGGGACTTACAGTATCACTTCTTGTGTTCTTCCCCACTGGTTCAGTGTATGGGCACGGGTGTGCTAAATTTTGCAGGAGGTAAGTTTAGGTACAGATCTGGATGTTTAAAACACTGAAGGCAAGCAGTGTAGCAGCTGTCCAAGGATGGCTCTTCATCATGCAAATTTGTTAGACCTAAACCATTCCTGACAGATGTTTGTCAGACCCATCTGAGCTTAAGTGCCTCCCTATGCTACCTGCAGCTTCACCAACCATAATAAATAGGCAAGAAACTTTGAGTTAACTTTCTAGCAGCCTCTGTTTCATACCACTGCTTATAGAAATGAATTTGTGAATAAGGTTGGGAAGCTACCAGATTTGTATGAAATCAATATTGTCTCAGCACTAAAATGAAACTGTTTTGAGAAGAACACCTTGTAGGACTTGGATTTAGATCTAAGGGAGTGAATATTCCTTGGTGTTACAGTCTAAATCAGCACTTAGTGAAAATATCAGGAAGCTGTCTAATGTACCACACTAATAACAAGTGACTGTGGATTTATTCTGTATCATTTAAAGCAGTATTGGGTTCTATCAGTTTCCTGTTTTACAGATGTGAATTTAAATGATGACTGCAGCATCATTTCTTTAAGGGTGTTATTCCCTTAAAGGGTGTTATTCCTCTGTTGCAGGTCATGGCAGAAGAAGAGTTGCCGGGCGTTTTGATTCTGGATATAGGAGGAACTCATGGTGTGCTAGAAAACCTTGCAGGACTTTTGAAGAAACACTTTTGCCTTATCACCATGAAAGAATTTATTGCAAACAAAAAAGAAATGAGCAAAAAAATCCAATGTGTTTTCGTGTTTGAGTGCAGGCCAACTATTGACCGGGAGCTTCTAGAAAGCCTGCCTAATTTAAAGGTAATTGGAAACTCTGGGGTTGGAGTCGATCACTTAGACTTGAAAATGATTTCTAGCTTTGGTGTAAAAGTGACCAACACCCCACATGCCGTGGCGGACCCAACAGCAGACATGGGAGTGGCCTTGATGCTGGCCTCTGCCAGAAGACTAGTGGAAGGTAATGTTTTAAATTTTCCTGGATCTTGGCTACTTCTCTGGCATATGTCTCTTTTACTGGGATACAGATGATCTGTCCATAATCAATATTTGGGATGCTTTTACAGGGAAAAGGATTCCTGAGGACTCCATTTTCAGAGGCCTCTGCTTTTCCTATGTCCTGCTTCTTTCTAAGGCAATGGTGACAAGAGTAAGGCCTTTGTCTAAATTATGCACTTTAAAGTCATTTGTGATATCCTATTTGGAATAATGTTTGGGGCTTAATTCTCTGGCTGTTCACTGGGTGGGTTGTTTATAGCTGTAAAAACTGCCATGAGTACAAAATGCATCCAAATCAAATGTCACCACTTCTCCATTTCCCCTTGGAACAAGTATTAGGAGCTAGAGGAAGGTAAAAAGCATTAATGGCCATGTCCCCACCTCTAGAGCAGTAATTAGTGTAACTCTTTATTTTTTTCCTGCCTCTGTGAAGTGTTTGTCCAAACCAATGGGTTGTATTTCTAGAAAAGCATCAGTGTTATTATTGAAATAGCTGATAATCCTTTTGACAAAGTTATTCCAAACTGTACCACCACCATTAGTTTGTGTCCTTAAAGGTAGTTCCTTTCCCCACATGCCCTTGTTATGCAATGCCTTTCAGGGGAAGGAAGGTGTCAGTAAGACACTATCACAAGAAGTTGCTTCTGTCTTCAGGGACTGTTTCTGTAGTGTTTCTGTTACCGCTGCTCCACCCCTGAGCATGAAATAACACCGCTTTCTTTGTGATGTTTTCTCACTGTTGCATCGTGCTGGACCTCAAGATCTTTGCATAAAAGCTCGTAGAGATCCCTGGCTGAGCTGGAATTTGCAACCTTCACCCCCACTCAAGCAGTGGGTTTTGGGTTGTGGTCCAGGAGAAGTGATGAGAAAATCATCATGATGAGAAAACCATTCAGAAATGGTGAGATTTACCCCAGCTAAAAAAAAAGTGAAGTCAGTGCTTGCAGGATGGTGTCAAAGAAGCTATTTTTGAACTTCCAAGAAAACACTCCAGCCACAAAAGTGTTAATTCCCTGAGGAGCCATTCCTCCCAGCACAGTACCCATCTGGGAGCCCCCCTGTGTTACTGGCTCCAGCTCTGGCTGCAGGGAATGGCACCATTCAGGCCCTTCTATAAACTGGTCAAAATTAGCAAGGATGTTTTGTAAGGGGCGCTCCAGAGCCCCACTGCTGTGATGGTGAGAATTTTTTTCTTTTCCCCCAAACCTACATTTATGGTCAGTTTGTACCCATTTAGCATGTATTTACATTCAGGCTGCCAGATCACGGTTTCTCCAGACACGAAGTATTTTGCTGTTGACTGGCTGGGAGTGGAAGTAACTAGAGCGACGCTTGGGATCATCGGGATGGGCAGCATTGGGTACAAAGTGGCTCAGAGAGCCAGAGCCTTCAACATGAAGATCCTGTACCATAACAGGAACCGGAGGTAAAAATGTCTGGTTTCTGCATGTAATTAGTCAGGGAGCAGTGATGGAAACCACAGCTCTGCTCTGTGTTCCTGGTCTTCCTGGCACTTGTGGCAGTTGTAAGCAACATGAGGAGCACCAGCATGCTGCCACTTCCTTCATTTTGGCTCCCTACTGCTCCCCTTGGGAAGCAGCTCTCCCTTGCCTCCTGCACTCTCTCTGTCCTGGTTAGCTACTAGCAGATTGGAACAAGGGCCGTGTAACCTTTCTGAAGATGTTGTCCAAGCAAACCAGGCCTTATGCCCTCGTCCCCTGTCCTGACAGACTCTTCTTCAGGCTTCTGGCAGCATCCCTGGCCCACCCAGCCAGTCACCCCTCTCCTCAGCCCAGCCAGATCACTCATCATGCAGGCACCAGTGACAAGGGTCTTAATTCTCTCAGATTTAAAATTCCTTTTCTTTCAGATTTCACTTCCCCTTCATTTCTTTTCCACCCCAAGTCCTAACTCGCATGTCAGGCAAGGAGAGAGTTCTACAGGGGTTGGCATAGATGCAGGAGAGAAGAGTAGAGTCTGACTGCATCCCCAACCTCCTATACCTAATATTGCCTGTGTGCTTTCCTTTCACACATACATCCCTCCTTCAGTGTCCCACCATTCCTCTAGCCTCTTGCTCCCTTTAGCCCACATCCTTCCTGCCTCCCTCCCACCATCTGTACCTATCAATGTCTTTTCCTTTATCTTGACCTCAAACTTCTCAGTCTTTATGCTGTTCCAGGTCTCTCCTAGGGTTCATTGATTGTTAAAGCCAGTTAGAAATAGTTGTGTCATTTTGGGAGTGTGTACATTTTTCCTTCAGAAGAAAGGAGGAGGAAGAGGCAGTTGGTGCCCACTACTGTGAGAAGATGGAAGAATTGCTGCAGCAATCTGACTTTGTTATGTTGGTTGTGAACCTGACTCCTGAGACTCACAAACTGATTGGGAAAAAGGAACTGGGCCTGATGAAACCCACAGCTACTCTTATAAACATCAGTCGAGGTAGGATGGTCTAAAAGCACTGTTTGTGGCTCCACAGTTAAGGTTGTGTTTTGTCTGATTATATTGACATTCCCCCCTCCAACCTCTGTCTGTGATATCCCTGTATTGTTTGAGTCATAAAGTAGCTGGCAGTCTACAGATGAATGACTTAGATCACATGCTATGTGCTCAAAGGTCCTATGGAATTTAGGGATGCTAGCAGATGTTCTGTTCTCTTTAGCCTTAGCCTAAAGACAGCTTTTTTTAATGGAAATAACTGAAAGGTTTATCAATACCAATGATGAATGCGGTACAAGGAAAAACAAGTTTCATTTGGAACAGCTATGCAGAAAATAAACCTCACATGGGATTACAGATCTGTTGGCACTGAACAAGCATGTGAGAGAGATTATCATTTCAGTAAGCAAAGCAGAGATAAAAGAGTGGAAAGTTTGACGAGATTAAATAATTTGTCTATTACACTACAGGAAGTCAGTGTCAAAATGAGGAAAAGACTGAATCCGGTCACATCCCAGGAAAAGCTTTATGCAGGGGACCATAATCCTCCTTTAGTTAAAGATTAATAAATACAATCTCTGTTTTGTTTGGTTACTAATACTACTTTCTTTTTACTTTTCTACTTTCTAATAGAGAGACATTCTATTTTCTAACAAGACGAAGATCCTGTACTTTTTCTCACTAGACCCTTGAGACCATTCCCCACTTACAGGTAAAAACATGTTCATTAACTCATCATGATAGCAAGATTTCATTTCAATGCAGGTGCAGTTATTGATCAAGACGCATTGGTAGAAGCTCTCCAGAATAAGGTTATTAGGGCTGCTGCCCTGGACGTGACATACCCCGAGCCTCTGCCAAGGTAAAGAAACCTGTTTTCCATTCTATTAATCTGAAATGTTTTAAACTGTGTGCCAAAGTGTGCTCATACTCTTGATCTCCATGGGAAGTGTCTCTCACTGTTTAAGGGCAAAACCTCAGCCTATCTCACATAATCATAAATAAATGGCAAACTATTTGCCTTTCCCACATCTGTCAGTCCTTTGCCAGCCTAACTGGCAGGCCAGGCAACGAGACCCATAGAGAGGAAGAAGAAATGTTTAATCAGGCTTCTCACAGCTTTCTGCTGGGTCTGTGCTGTGGCCCTTTTATCTCAACATACCATTGCTGTTTCCCAAGGTTCAGACCTTAACAACTAGTATGGGATAGCTGCAGAGTAAATTCCCTGTGTAATACATTCTACTCTTTCTCTTTCTTACAGATATCATCCTTTATTAAAATTAAATAACATCATCATAACCCCTCACATTGGAACCGCAACAGTCCAAGCTGTCCGTATGATGGCAGAAGAAGCAATAGCAAATATGCTGGCTGTTCTCAATGGGCAACCCATTCCAAGTGAAGTGTTTCCCAAATGATGTGTGCCAGATGATACAACTAAATCTCATGTGTATAGGAAAGCACTATTTCTTACAGTAGCACTTTTAAACTAAAAAAAAAAGCAACCTGTTCCTGCACTGCTTTTGTCATGATACTGCAAAGCTATTATCTCACTAGACTTGATCTGTACTGTTATTTACAATTCTGAAAAATAGTGGAACTAATAAAAGTGATTTGTTTGAAGATTTAAAACTAAGCAGTTATGCACTTTGATATCTTCAGTCCATTATTTCAATGAATACCTGTTTTCTGTTCCTAGTACTTTCTGCTATGTAATGATAAACAGGTACACTAAGCAGTTTGTGTAACACTCTCAAATATATTAAAAGTGAATTGAGCATTAATTCCCTGCAAAAATCTGACTGTATCCTGAAACACTTTTCAGCCAATATTGCAACATTCTATTTTCATATCAAAACACTGAAGAAAGCAGACTCCTTTGAAATGATTGTAGGCCTAAGGTCTTCTAATGCAAGAAGAGCTCTGCTTCATCTACATGTTAAAGCAAAACAAAGCCAATCATTGAAATAGCATCTTTGATTTTCCTGAGGGGATCCTTTGAAAACCAAAGTAAAACCCAAGAGATTTATTTCCTCCATGCAGACAAAAATGATACTCTTTTCTTGACTGGCCATGAAACAGTGGTAGGATCTACCACTGAAATCACGTGGATGAGGGCACAGCCTAAAGTAAAATTAGCAATAGGTCCTAACTTGTAGCCCAGGGCCAAGCTTTTTCTCACATTCTCTTTCCTACGAGCAAGCAACGAAGTCAGAAAATTCAGTAAAATATTTGTCACCTCCATAAAATCTGGAAGCTTTTCCTCCATAAAATCTGGAAGCCTTTCCATTATTTTGCAATACAGCCAGTCTTCTTGAAGTGATGGTAAAATGAAGTTTTAGCACAAGAAGTGTAGACAGGCCAAGAGTTAGACATTCGATGCAAATAGTGAAATACTACTAACAAGACAACAGCAAGTATTGCTTGCTATAGGGGATTCCAAGATCTTCAGCCATTGAACAGTTCTCCCCATAGCTCTTCCCAAAATTCCCATGGAAAATCAATGGTAGCTGTAAATAGTCTATTTAAAAAAAATCCCAAAACTGTCAATTCACAGACCCTCTGGGAACCATAAAACAGATGGTCAGTGCTTCCTGCAAAAAACGCCCACATTTTAATTTGGGTGCCTAAGTCCATATTGTAAGACACTTGCCCAAGCATCTATTATTTTGTTAACTTACGATTAGCCTCGGGAGAAGGCACTGGAGTTAAGGAGTCACTGGTGTCTCTTCAGGACAGGAGGCTGGCTGCAAAAATCTCTGCAATGAAGCATTTAAAAATTAACCTGGTAACTCAAAGTTCATGATGAAGCTGTGCAATTTATTTTCATGAACTAGATTTGGTCCAACATTTTTCTAAACTACTTAGACAAGGTAACTCGTGATTTCAGGGTAGGGAAGGAAATTTATTGCACCAGACCACTTGATGGTCTGAAACCAAGTGGTTAATGAGAAATAATTGTGTGTTATGAGCTTGGTGGCAGTGATATGAAATCTTACAGACCATGAGAGACTGAACTTATTCAGACTTTATGTGAATACCTCTCTGTGTGTCTGTATAATTGGTAGTATACTTAAAAGAGCTGCTTTCTTGTCGTGGTTTGTTCACCTCCCTATCTAAATATGTGGTTTATAAGATTCATTGCCATAGATGTCAGGAAATAGGACATGAAAGTAATTGTTCTTTAAAATGTCTGGAAATAATTATGTCTGTCTTCTGACACGTTGTGTCTTTCTTCTTTGTGCAAATCATGGGAGGAGGAGAGAGACCTGGGCTTTTGGTAAAGGAAATCGGTGGCTTACATGGGACACTGCATGGTGTTCTGAAGAAAATTTTCGACCTGATCACCATGAAGGAATTTATTGAAAACAGAAAGCATATGAGCAAAAAGGTCTAAGTGACCTGTTTGTGGTGGCACAAACCAGTCATTGACCAAGAGCTCCTCCAGAGCCTGCCAAACTTGAAAGTGATTGCAAATTCAGGAGTAGGGATGGATCACCTGGATCTGACACTTGTAGCTAGCTTTGGTGTGAAGACGGCTAATGCTTCATGTGCTGTTTCCATCAGCACAGCAGATACTAGTATGGCACTGCTGCTGGCATCTGCTAGAAGACTGGTGGAAGGTAACATCTCAATTCTTTTGTGGCTTCTGAAAATCATAGATTTACCTACCACTAGTTTGGCTTTTCCTAGAGTTACCTGTAGTGCACATAGTTTCACATAATATATGAAAATCAAAATCTAAATATGCTGGGTTGGCAAATAGAATAATTGGTATTTTCATACATTTTATATATAATAAATATATCTAAATTATTACATTATACATAGCATCTATTTCAACCAGGTGTAAATAATATCATATGAGTTTAGTTTTCACAGGCCACCAGCCTGGGCTGAAAATACTTGCGTGGAATCTAATCACATTTGATTCAAATACAACTTTTTACTTTATGGACCAAATGGTCTTAGAAGCTGGAATTTCGTTTTTAGAATAAATATGGCTGTAGACTTAATTTAACTGTTTCAGATGAACAACACACTGAAGCACGCTTCCTACATATGAAGACTTTAAATTTCATTACCTTCTTCAGCAGCACATTTCCAGTGACTATGACATTTGGCGGACATGAGACGTGCTTCTTGATGTGATAGTGTTACAGTGCTATTGACCAAAAGTGGGGGGTGCCAGAGATCAGACGATGGCTGCAATCACAGGCTGGCAGAAGAGATTAGAGTGTGGGAGGCAGCGATGGAGCAGAATAAGGGTGTATGCTGAAAGCTGGGGCTGGCAGAGGCATGGGGCATATATTCAAGGACCAAAATGGATTGGTGCAGAATTGGGGGCATTAGCCTACTCCAGTTTCTGCTAGTAGCATCCTTTCTGGTTTCTTCCACAATTTTTTCTTGCCATTTCCCCAAGTAGAGCTACCCTTGGCTTGGTTAGAATGCCTCCGCCTCCTGTTTCAGGAAAAGCTCCTCCAGATTTATCCTATTAAATTTACCTGCCTTTGATTTGCCAGCTGTACCATAGGATTCACAGGAACTCAAAGGAGACTTGTCTTCCCCCTTACATCTGTTTCTACCTCACAAGGAGAAGACAGATTTAAAAGGGAGATTAATTTCTTGTTCCCATCTACATAAACTGTCCCTGGTGGCATTTCTGATAGCTGTGCTCTGGCATGACTGAGTTTTATCCTGAGGTATTTTTTTGATACTTTCACAATATTCTGCTTATGTTTTAGAAGAGCTGGCAGTATTGGAAGACTGAAATACTAGCAGCCTGTCACCTTGTTAGCAGACTAATAAGTGCTGTCTCTCTGTATATTGAGTGTATTTTCTGTGTTGTAGAAACCTCCAAAATTTTGCAGGTTTGACAGATAATTATAGAAATTACCAAGCAGTGATTTTTAAAGAAGGCACATTTTTCTTTCCAAGGAGAGTGGCAGAGGTGAACAGGAAACCTGTTATTATTCTTAAGAGCAACATCAATATCTGGTGTTATTCTCCACATGACATTCCCAAACTCTGCAATGTTACTGGCAATAATTATTTTGATTGTTGATGCAGAACAGGGCAATATTTTTATGAGAGTAAAGCAGTAAAAGGGTTTTTAGGGGACATGACATCAAAAGGCTTTTTATAGTATGATGAGAATAAATGGGAATGTCACACACGTCTGGCAAGGAAAGGTGATATATCAGGCAGTCGCCCAGGACATGACAAAAAACACTGATATTTAAAACTGTGTGTTTGTAACCTTTAAAAGTGTGCTATAGTAGCACAAGATGACCAGACTTTTTTGCCTTGTTCCTCTGTGTTGGACCCCATTAATTTCTCATACTGGAGTGTTTTTCTTGCAGGCTATCACATTGCAATTTCTTCAGGTATGGAGTACCGTGAAGCCAATTTTCTGGGAGTTGAAGTTACCGGAGCTACTCTGGGGATCCTTGGCATGGGCAGCACTGGGTATAAGATTGCTCTGAGAGTCAAAGCTTTTGAAATGAACGTTTTTTACTACAACAGCGCACAGAGGTAAAGATATGTCTTGACCCTAATTACAGCAGAAACTCCCTTTTAGATAATCAGTATTTCCTTTTCAAGGAATTAATGTCAGGAATATAGAAAGAAATGAAGGAATAGGGACAAAATAGGGACAAAACAAAAGAAAAAAAGAATGGTTGCCTCAAATCAGTCTTGTAAAGAATTATTTGGTAATTAAACACTTGGAAACTTAATTTAGGTTTTACATTAGAAATTCCAAGATTTCCTGGAGATGTGAACAGAAAAAGTAAAATCAAGCTATACCTTTTTTATTCTTATCATATCTTACTATAATGACACATAACTCTACCTTTTAAAAATTTTTTTCCCCATATTTTGAAGTTCACAGTGATCTTGTTGAAACTCTTGACAAACTTGTTCATGGGAGTACTAGGAAGCGTGTACTTGGCACAATATGAAAACTGATTAACTTGACAGCTGTTCTTGAGAAAACTTTGTTTCTCTTCAAACCAGGAGAAATTTTGCCAAGCATTTAACTGGATTTCACCCTTTATTTCTAGCCCCTCCTAACTTGTGTATCTGGGAATCTGATCCTTGTTAGGGATTCAGCACAGGGGCTCTTCAATGTAAAGGTTAGCAAGATACCTGTGTACAACTCGAGACCGTTGCAATCAGGCAAGGTGCAGCCAGCAAGCAGAACAAATGTTTACTCCTATAAACCATGATCTACCCTGAGACAACTTCACTTCTCCCTCACTGAAGGGAGAAGCTGCAGTGCTAGTACCTGTGTTTTTCAGTGATTTTCTCTATATGCAGACTGCAGCAGAATGGTTTCTGCTCTAGCTAGCCCTAACCAAATCACAAGGGTGGATGAGACCATAAATGTCTAGCCTTGCTTGGCATTCCTTTTACTTCAGAAATTATAAAAACAGCTGAGCAAAATCACATTTAAAAATTACTGGTAAACTCCCTCCTTAAGATCTTTCAGAATGTCTTCATAAACTGCAAAAAGGTTTTAATGGGTGGACGTGATGATCTTAAAGGTCTTCTCTAGCCTAAACGATTCTATGATTCTAAAAAGAGAAGATAAGGTACAAACCCTTTTTTTTTTTCCTGCGGATCTTCACTAACTCCCTCTGTTTAGTATTTTTCAGTCTTCGAAGTAATATTTCTGTAAGAATGCTCCGATGAATAATCAACGCCCAGTGCAACAGAAATTAAAAGCCTGCTTATTTTAAAGTACATTTACACTTCAAACTTATGTGCTGAAGCCAGATGCACTCTGCAAGCTGCAAAATTGGCTGTAGTTCCAGCCTGTTCTTTACCCACCTAATCTCTGGTTGTTGACCTGGACACTGAAAGAAAACAATTAAATGCATGCGTTAGGAGATACATGGTCCAAAGGTACTTTGAAGTTATTTTCTTAGTGTGACTTCTTTCTTTATTTCTAGGCTAGGGAGGAGGTAATTCAAAGCCATTCTCTTGCAATAGGGAGCAGAAGATTGTATGCTCAATCTCTTATCATTGCTGCTTTAGTTCCCAAAGTTCAGGCAGCTGAATTTACAAAGAACAGGAGAAATGGCAAGTATACTTTTTTATTTTGAAAAGTTCAAACTAAAAATCTCTCTACTTTGGTAACTTCTTGTGTTGAACATTTTATTTTGTGAACGTCCTGGGGCAGCCGGGAGCGTGCCAAAGAGCTGCCTTGCTGATTCCGCTCGTCAGAAAACACCAGGCTTACTGGAGGATGCCAAGGGGATGAGGACCCCCGGCGTGCTCAGAGCTCACGGCGATGAGTTCTGGTGGATACCGCTACGCTGATTTGAGGGATTGATGCGTCCTGTGAGGTCCAGCGTCCCCACAGGGGGTCCTGGAGAATGGGCCCTGTGCTGCCATCTCTTCCAGTGCTTGGCCTTAGTCCGCTTGCGGACTTTAAAAGAAGCCCCTGGACCCTGCACTGCAGTGGCTGAGAGGCAGGCATGCGATCCATCCCCTGCTGTAGGGCGGGAAGCCTTCCAGAAGGGCCTAAACAGCCGGCTGAGACAAAATTCACCTTTGCCACCTGTTTGCTACCTGAATGTGATAATCAGATCCTTTAGCTTGTATACCAGTGGCATCACTGAAGAAAATATTTTCATGACTGATTCCCTGAAATACAGTGTGATCCCTTTTTTCCCCACCAGGAAGGAGCAAGAGGAGCGAGCAGTCGGCGCCACTTCCTGCGGAAGGGTAGACAACGTGCTCCAGCAGGCAGATTTTGTGACGGTGGTGACGAGCCTGACACCTCAGACACACAACCTCATTGGGAAAAAGAGAGGTGGAGCTGGTGAAACCCACAGCTACTCTCATTAACCTCAGCCGAGGTACCACCCGGAACCGCTGACTGGCCTGACGAGGAGGTGTGAGCCAGCTCCCGTTGCGTTATGCGCAGCACCGTGCTGCACCCACCGCACAGCTGGTGCCTACACCCAGGGCAGATCAGGCATGGCGAAAATTCCTCTCTCTCCCCTTCTACCCACTCTCCGACCGTTACCTGCCCATGGCACCCAGAGACAGCTTTGTTCCAAACCAGGTGCAGCAGTTGACCCAGAGGCGCGGGTGGCAGCTCTGCAGATGGGTGTTGCCAGGGTCGCAGCTTTGGATGTCACCTACCCGGAACCACAGCCCGGGTTGCCGTCTCTGCGTATTTCTCAGGAACGCTGCTGTTGCGTGAGCCCTGCCAGAGGCCGGAGGCATCCCTGGAGCAGGCAGGGGTCTGGCAGCGGCGGCCCCACCTGCCCCTGGGGTGGAGGTTTGCCTGAAAGCGCCATGAATACCAATGGGATGCAGCCCAGATGTTGGCTCTGATAACAGGCCAAAGGGAAGCCTGGGCGCCAGCAAACAGCAGGAGGGGGCTCGAGAGCCGAGGGGAGCAGGAAACCCCCTCCACATGAAGGTGCATCGGTGCTTCACTTGCTTACAAATTGCTTTATCTGAAGGTGCAGCTTGCCATGAACGGGTGGAAGCTTCTTCGGCCTGCTGCATCGCCCCAAGGTTTCCCCCCACGCAGGCTGGTTTCCACCGTACAAGGCTGCATATCTCTCTCGGGCCCAGGGGCTACTCGGCTTCTGTAAAAAGACACCTCTAGCAGAACGGTGCCTCGTGGAGCTAACTGTGCTGGCTGCGTTTTGGGTTGAGGGGAGCGCGTTCTTGTGAGGCCTGTGTGCCAGGACATCACTGTCCATCAGCGGGGTTGCATAACTACAGCTCACACCATTGTGTCTGGTTAATGCGCCAGGAGGGCTTAATCCCCTCTTCTGACATAGTGCAAATTGCTGCCTGACGGCAAAAGTCTGTTTCTGGACAAAAGAGCACTCTATCAACTCTTAACATGTCCTTTTACTGTCCCAAATTACTTGAACACAGGTGATCAGGTTCTGTGGATGTAAGTGGGACTTGTAAAGCTATATTAAATCAACTTCATATTTAAACACAGCGCAAAAGCCCAAGTAGGACTCCTCTTTATTTGGATAAACAGCAGGTAACTTAACTGTCTCTTTTTTCCTTTCTTCCGGAGATCATACATTATTAAAAGTAAAGAACGTCATTATAATGTCTCACCTTGGCATTAAAACAGACAAGACCACCTGCATGATAACAGAGGAAGCAGCTGAAAACATGCTAGCAGCTTTTAATGGTCTCCCCATACCCAGTGAAGTGCTCCCTAGCAGACGTGCAAAAGGATATCACAGCTCTCTTTTTATTCTTTTCTTTCCCCCCAACAGCTCTAAAGGTTTTTATTCTTATGTTTTCCCTGTTAAGAGAAACCTATTCCAAGTGGGCACAGAAAGCTCTGGCTGGGTCTCACATGTCGTTAAAAAACAGCTTTTATATTTTGATATCCTCGCAAATAGAGGAATACGTTACTTTTTACTTCCAACCATAGATAGATGCACGCAGGCTTTAAGTGTCTCTGGGAAAAACAACTTCTCATTGCCAATGCACCTACAGTTCTTGCTAGAGTCCCTAATCCTAAAGCAAATGTCATTTTAGATGACATAATTCACTTTGTTCCCATTGTACTAGCTATCAAAACCAACAAAGTAAGCTACCTGGCTAGAAATATTATTGATTTTCCATATGGAAGTCTCCATTTAAACTAGCTCCTGAGACACAAAATACCGAGGCAGAAGTCAGTTTTCAGAAACGTACTCAGAATCACTTATTCAAAGCAGATCGGGTTTTAGAAGACAAATTAAAGTACTAGCACTAAAGAAAATTAGTCTTCAAGATGAACATGCTACTATGTTTGTAATACCAAATTTATATGCAGTCTACCTCCAGGTTTTCAACTTTGTACAAATATTTGAAAGAACACTTGAAGCCCTCTAAGCCTCCAGCACCATTCTGTAAATTAGTGGGAACACAAAAGTCTATAAAAACACATGCAGCATTAATATCCAAATCTATACGTTTTCCTTTGCATCACTGCTTCTGGACATTCGCAGGAATAATTATATTTGAAACAAGATATAACAGTGTTGTCCCAAAGATGGGTTCTTCCACCCAGTATACAGAGGGCTGATAAACACAGTCGAGATATTTGCTTTTATGCCATGTCTGCGCAGAGTGGGGTGCTAGGTGGTTAAGTCCACAAAGCTGGCACAGCCAGGCTAGTACGAGGCCGCTTTTTATACAATCCACAACACGCAAGGCAAATGTTTGTTAATACAGGATTGGCTAAAAGTTTTGCAATTTGCTTTAACACACTACGCGTGCTCCTATAGCTTGGGGGGGTACTGTTTTTCTCTTTAGCATATTGAGGGGAGTTACTTTTATCATTATAATTACATTATAATGAGGTTACTTTCAGGCAGCTTGTTTTAGCAGTCAGCGAGTCAACAGATGCTTCTCTTTTTTAGTTCCTTGCTTTAATCACAGTGTTCATTCTTCAGGGCTGCTGTGCAAGCTTTTACCAGCTCCTTTATCAGTTGTTCATTCTTTCACAATCCTCCTTTAGTCGCTTGTAATCCACTAAGATGTAACAATTGCCCCCTTTGAGAGTTACAGTAAATATTCCATATTTCAATTAAGTCTCACTTAAATAACTTCAACCAGAGATCTCCATTTTGAGGAGTTTTCAATACTTCCCGAAATTGTTTCTCGGTTTCTTCCCATTCAGCTAGGTCTTGGTGAATTTCCAGACTATCCTTTATGGGGATAATTTCAGGATCTTTTACTTTTCTTTTTTGGGTTAGGGCTATCATTACTTGTTGAGAACGTGACAGTACAGTTTGGACAATTAAATTCTTAATACATCCAAAAATTATACAAATTATGTACTCTCTGTTGTCTTAATACAAGCCCAAAAGACAAATAAACCAATACACAACTCAAAGTGGCAGTGCTGTGCATTTTATTATGTAGTATGACTTTATGGATAGTATGATTATTTAATCTATCAGTAAAAGGTATAGCAAAGTTGCCATTTAGTGCATCTAGGATTTTGTCTGTAGTCTCGTGCATCTTCACAGAGCCATTTCCATGCCCTTTTTCTTGCAGAAGGTTGTCACTGGTGCTTGCCAAAAGACACTTCCTTCCACCAAGTTCAACATATGATGATGTTACCAACTCTTGCAGCTTTTCAGGAGCAGCAAGTTGGCTGGGAAGAATTTCAAGACTGTCCCAGGTACCAACCTGTTCTCTGAGGTACGGGTGCCCTGTATGCCTTTCATTGTCACTTGTCTGACCTTGACAAAAATAAGTCTATTCTTTGAAAACAAAAGGCTAAAGGCTAAGCAATAAATTACAGAGCTGAAAACAAAGCTACAAGAAGCTAAAATAGCAGAGAGAAAAAAACACCTTTTATTAGATCAATATCCTAAAAGTGGAAAAAACCACACAAGGTTTTGCACATGCAAACTTTTCTCCAGATGTGAAGCAGCAAACATAAAATCAGATACAGTACCTCATTTCACTTCTACATAAAACAATAGAACATGCTTGGCATTTGCTTGGAGTTTTACTTTTACTTTTAAAGATAGACTGT